TTGATCTTTACAATGACCATAGGGGTCGATATTATTATATTCATCTTGCAACTGAAGAAATGAAGGAAGACAGAGGTTAAGTGACTTGCTCAGAGTTATACTATACACTATACTATATTATATTATATGATATTATATGATATTATGTGATATTATGTGATATTATGTGATATTATGTGATATTATGTTGATATATGTATTATATGGTATGTATGTATGTATGTATTATTTGTATTATGTATCGTATATATACATTATTATTATTATATTACATATATTATATCATATTATATTATATTATATTTATTATTATATTATATTATATTATATTATATTATATTATATTATATTATATTATATTATATTATATTATATTATATTACATTATATTATATATTTATTTATTATATTATATTATATTATATTATATTATATTATATTATATTATATTATATTATATTATATTATATTATATTATATTATATTATATTATATTATATATTATATTATATTATATTATATTAATACTATATATATACTATACTATACTATACTATTATTATATTAATACTATACTGTATTATACTATACTATATATACTATACTATACTATACTGCTATTATACATACTATACTATACTATACTATACTATATACTATACTATACTATGCTTTGCTATACTATATATAATATACTATACTATACTATACTATACTATACCATGTCTGACTCCAGATTTGAACACAAGTCTTTTGGACTTCAGGCTTGGCACTCTATCCATACCACAACCTAGCTTCCTGTATCAGTCTGAGTGGAACCATGTAGGACTGGAGGACAGTTAAGGATTAACTAGAATGTTGGGCTGATGTCCTGATGACAACTCTGAGCTGGGGAGATTATGAGATACCGTAAGTGCTTTATTTGTTTTCTGAATAGGTTTGTGGGTTTCTGGGAGGCTTTTGTATCATCTTCATTTTTCTGTGAGGCAAAATTAATACTGTTCCCTTCCTGAAATTAATTAATTTTGAGTGATTTTATGAGAGAAAATTATAGCTAGATTTTGAGATTATAGCTAGTATTTATATAATGTTTAAAAGTTCACCACGTCCTTTTAAAAATTATCGTCATGACCATTCTGGGAGACAAATGCTATTATCCCCATTTTACAAATGAGGATTATGACTTACCCAGGATTACACAGCTAAGAAGTGTCTGAATTTGGCTTTGAACTCAAGTCTTTTTGACTCCAAGCCCTGCTCTGCATCCCATTTCTCCTGTTTAGAGCTTACTTTGTATACATTTGTTTATATATAATCTCCCCCATAAGACTGTGAACTCTTTGAGGGCAGGGGCTGTCTTTTGCCTCTTTTCTGTCTTTGGCAGTTAGCTGAGTGCCTGGCATATAGTAGTTGCTTGGTAAATATTTATTAGTTGATTCCTATTATCACTCTCCAATACAATATCCCCTTCCAAACAGGAAAGTCCAGATCACCAGCTCATCACCCAGAAAAGCAGAACTCTTCCAATCTCATTTTTCCATCCAGACTTCAGATATACGAGCAGACCAAAGACCAGTTACTAGAAAGCCAGTGGCATCCTTGGGGGATGTGGGTACTTTGAGGTTCTCTCTCATGTCCCTTCTGTGCTTGTGGCCTGTAAGAATCCTTGGAATATCAGCCTTACTCAACAAGTAAGGTGCTTCCCCCATGCATCTTACCTGCTGCATTTTGGAGAGGTAGCAGTCAATGTAGTCCTGAGGGTTGTTGGGGTCCAGGACCTTCTGATGCTCTTTCACTCTTTCCAAAATGAAATCTTTAAGTTCCTCATTAATTTTAAAATTCTTTTGTGTTCTCCAGGGAGGTATTCCGAATGCTGGTAAAAAGTTGTAGAGCTGCATACACACACCCCAAACCAAAACAAACACATGTGAATTTACTGTCATGAAGAAACTATTTAAAATCTCTCATTATAAATTAGAGATTCCATTTCTTTTTTAAATTTAATTAAATTTTTCATTGACAAAATATATTTTCTCTCATCTTCACTGCACATTGGTACAAACAAAAAAGAAAAACAAAACCATCCAAGAAAATACACATAATGAGGCAAAACAAATCCCCACCTTGTCAAGAGGTTCATAAATCCTCTCAAATCTAACCTTAAGTTGTCAAATATCTCAAAACTAATCTATCTGGTGCTGTGCTACCCACTGAGGTGACCAGATGGCATAATATTTTGTCGTTGTTCAAAAGAAGCTCATATTTGAGTTAAGGGGAAATCTACTTGCCTTCGAATGGCCAACATGAAAAAAAAAAAGAAGATAAACAGGCACCAAGGTATGCAATTAATTCAGTTCAATTCACGTTAAGTTAATAAAATGCATCAAGCATTTTTTCCGTACTCACTATGAACCAAGTCCTAGGCTATGGTGCTATAGACAACAATGAAGCAGTCTTCATCCTCAAAAAAATTTACGTTCTACCACAGAAGGGTTTAGCTAGAGTACCTATTCCAGACTGTAAGTACATATTCCAGAATGTAAATGGAACAGAACATAGGCAAAGGAAAAGAAAGCTTGTTTTTCAGCTGGATGAGGATCTTCAGTTCTGGCTTCAGTGGATGAAGGTTTTCATCCTACATGTCCATCCATTGTAGAGGCAGAGCCAGATCACCACCAGAATCAGTGTAGGCTACTCATCTAAGTGGCTTGCCCTTCCTATTCTCTCCTGGATATCCTGGGCAGGTTCTTTTTTGATAACTCTTTTACTTGGTCACATCTGTGAAGAGATACCCCAGGCGCCAGTCAAACACTTCTCCATATAACTTCAATTTTAATGATCTACATCTAGTGCAGGTGCCAACTAGGAACAGGATATCTACCTAATAGCTTATGTGAGAGCCAAAGATATTGCATGATGTTATTGTCCTTGAGTGACATGTGTGTGTGTGAATGTGTGTGTGTGTGTTCTCATGAGCGTTGGGACCTTGGCTAAGAGATGAGAGGCTATGGTATATTGATCTTGTTGCTGAAACTCAGCAAACAACCACAGAATAAGAAGAGAGTTCTGGCCTTACCTGTATCCATGGTTCGTTAACGAGGCGGAAGTTTTCATTTAACAAGTTCATCAGATGGAGAAATTTCTCATCATTGTACTTGAATCGGTCACGGAAGAGGATAGAGCAGATCACATTGCATGGTGCACAGCTAAGGATGAAGGTGGGATCAGTGGGCTGACCTAATGTGGAGACAAGTTACCAAAGGGGGGAAAAAGCAACTTTAATAGAAATGTTTCCAATCAGATGGGATATGGGCATCATACTTAGATAGGGTGCTTAGTTCTTTAAAGGCTAATGAATATTATTCTCCTGGACGATGTCTTTACTTATAGGGAGGCTAGATAAACTTATAATGCCTGAGCACAAGAAAAAGAAGGGAGTTTTCTGACCCGGCAGAGTTATTATCTGGTAAGTAGATGAAGGCAGAGACTTTTAAAATGATTCCCAAAGCAAATAGCATTTAGGACTGGGAGTAGGTGAGCAGTTGGACCCTACATGCCCAGGAAGAAAGAACTGAAAACCAACCCTTTGTTTTCCTGAGCTCCTCCACCAGGCATTGGGCTTCTTCTTGAACTCGCTCTTCAACGCTTCTCTTCCCCATCCCAAAGTTCCTTAGGGTCGTCAGGGTAAATCTGCGGTGTTGTTTCCACCTCTCTCCACTACTGAAAATAATCCTAGGTAGAAGAGAAGAGGACATTGGTTATTCTTACATTGGAAGGGGGAGGGCACAGTGTGTATGATGGCTATGGAGTTTCTGGCTTAGTTCATTGATCAAGTTTAATTTTATTCACTTCAAACTAAAATACAATGACAGAATGGGTACCAGGTACCTACTACATGAAGGTCTTCTGCTAGGTACTGAGAATAGAACAATTAAAATGAAACCAGTAACTATGTTCCAGAGGAGGACGTTCTACTGGAGATACTTTGCCATACATTTTGCTTTTCTGTGACTCTTTTCAGAAAACTAAACTTACCATGTCCTTTGGCTACATCTCCAAACATTGGTAAGATTCCTCTATCCATAAAATTATCTCCATGATCAATTAGAGCTTCCTTCATAATGTTATATCCATGTAGCACCACAACACGCCGGGTTCCAATATGAAGAGTATAGATGGGGCCATATTTTTCAGCCAGCTGTGAAAATGCCAAGAAACAGGATGAATTCAGTGTGAAACTTTAGAAAGTGAGAATTTCTCCTCACAACTGCTTCATAACATGCCATATGCATGAGTTCATGTACGCAGGCAAGAGGCTATTACAATTTCTAACTGGGTGATCATAGCACTTCCGGCTTCAATGATTATTTATAAGCAGAAGATTCCCACATTCATATGACCACTTTTCAACTCCACATAGCCAACTGCTTAGAAATGGATTTCTCAACCTGGATGTCCTATTGGCATTGCAAACTTAATATGTCCACAACACAACTCATTTGTTTTCCCCTAAAACTACCCTTTCCTCCAAACTTACCCATTTCCCTTCAGGGACCCCAAGAGGCAGACTTCTCTTAGAGGAACCTACATCAACCCTGATTTAAGGCCATGGATTTATATTTGACTTTTCATTCTTACTTATGTCCAATTAGCTATGGTCAAGTCTGGTAGAATTCATCTTCATGTCTCCCACACCTATTCCATCTTGCCTCCTCACTTGTCCATTAAACTAGTTAAGACCCTCATCCCCTTCCCCTTCTTTACACTACTGTAGTAAACTTGTGATACAGACACTCAAACTAGTCACTCTAATAAATCACCCTGAGGGAAAGAGAAAAAGGAATGGGAAGAAAGAAAAAATCAAACTACCACCAAATTCCCTTGGAAAATAACTGAAATGACCCAGGACCATTACTCAAGAGCCTTTGTAATTGACCTTTTCATGTCAATGACTCCTGCCCTTACACCTAGGCTCTGCTTTCAGTCCAGGCCAAACACTCATCCTTTCAATGAGGAGCAGTCACTGTAGAGAAGGGCCCCACCTTCCTCACCATCACCACTACCAGTTACTAAACAACTGACTAATTTGTTAATTTTCCCTAAGAAGCACAACGCCTTTGCAACTGACATGCATCTAAAATATCTTACTCTATATTGTCTCCACAATAGTGAGCACATAGTAGGTACTTCATAAATGATATTTTATCCATTCTTTCAATGGCTTCCAAGTTCAATCCTCTGCTTCTAGTATTTCTCCTTTGCAATGAATAATCTGCACAACTAACAACTTACTATTCCTGTGGCACAGTTCTGAATGTGCCATTCCTCTACTCAAAAGTCTGCAGGGGCTTCCTACTGCCTCCCTGACTTGGCACTTAAATGCCTCCACAGCTGCCTCCAACCCAATTGTCTAAATTGATTTTGTATGGCCCCTCATCCCACACTTCACATTCTTGCCATGTCCTCTCTTATCTATATTATCTCCAACCTCCTTGCCTTTGCCCAGACTGTCTACCATGCCTGGAATTTATTCCCATTCTCTCTTCCAATAAGAATCTGTTACTTCCCTCAGCATCCTGCTCAGGAGTTCTCTCCTACTTGAAACTTTTTGACTGCCCCACTTACAAATGCTTTATCTGTCCTCTAGTTACCTTCTACTTGGTTATCTATGAATTTTTTGTATCCCTCTAGTAAAACATAAGCTCCTGGAGGACAGGAACTATTTTCTTTTCTTTTTTTGTCTTTTCTTTCTTTCTTTTTTTTAAGCAATTGGGGTTAAGGGACTTGCCCTGGGTCACACAGCTAGTAAGTGTGAAGTGTTTGGTCTGATGCTGGATCTGAACTCAGGTCCTGCCCCGAACTATTTTCTTTTCAAGGAGAGACAGTTGCATTAACCACATGTTTCTCTCCTCTGTCTGGCACAGTGCCTGGCACATGGAAGTTAATGAAGAAGTTCTCATTAATTGAATGATTAGTTTTTGTCTTTGTATTCACAGAGCCTAGTATGATGCATTGCAAGGGGCCAATATTTGGTTCTGTAATTTAATTTCTTCTGCTGTTACCAAAGTTTTGGCAAAACAACTATTGCTTGCCTAACATCATTGCTAATGGAGATATCACTCATAGAGCCCTTGACTCACACCATCCATGACATAGGATTCTAAATCACCATGAGTCTTGATTCAGTTATCTATTTGAAGACTTTGTGTCTCCTCCTACAGCCCAAGCAGCCAGATCCAAAACCCAATCCAGTCCCTTTACCTTAGATAACGATTCAGGCATGTTCTTCAAATCCAATTGCAGGATGTTGCCAATAATGGGAAGAGGAATGGGACCTGGGGAAGCTTCCTCCTTTTGAATCCTTGTCTCCATATAGACAAAAAGATCAGCAAAAGAACACAAGTCAGTAGGGCAGTAGAGGTGAGTCCCCAAGGATCCATTCCTGACAGATGGTCCTACAACTCTCAGAGGTATCAGCTCAGATGGCAGACTTTTATCATCATTGGTAGAAACAAGGGGTGGGAATGCCCAGCCAATAAACATTTAGTCCTTGTAGGCAAACAGGATTTTTTTTCCATTAACTCTGATTAGTTTAGCAATCAAGAGGTTATTATGTTGTTTTTTGTTTGTTTTAGACTCTGTCCCTGACCCTAAACTGGCACTAAATTACATAAGGAGAATGGGAATAGGGAAGGCTTTTGTCCAGCTCATTTTGTTGGGGTCATGGGCTGTCAACAATCAAATTTCTGTTGGCCCATGAGTGTGTGTTTAGCAAGGAGGGCAAATCTCCAAATTCAACCTGAGAGGAGGTTGTGGTGGAGATCAGATTGTCAGTAGGCTTGACCTCATGTTAAAGGGCTCAGATGTTATTTCTTATCTCTTCAACTATGTCAGGCTTAATTGCCTTCTTAACCATACTTGTTCATTCTTTACTTTGAAGAACATTCTTCTTGAGAGAGAAGATGGCAGCAAAATAGGTATCAACAGGCTTTGCCAAGGTGGAGCCAAGATGGTGGAGCCACAATGGTAGAGTATAGGGAGGGACTCACTTGAGCTCTCCCAAACACCACCAATACCTTTTTTTAAAATGACTCTAAACAAATTCTAGAGCAACAGAACCCACCAAAAGACAGAGAAAACAAACTTCCAGCCCAAGACAACTTGGAAGTTTGGCAGGAAAGGTCTATTGCACCGGGTGAGAGAGGAGTGCAGCACAGTATAGGCCACACCAGCCCAGATCCGGCCCAGCAAACCAGGAATTTGCCTTCAGAGGCCTTGTAAGTGACTGAATCAGTGGCAGCACTGGCAGTGGCTTCTTCCACAGCTGAGCCCAGAAAGAGGGGGGGTGTCAAATAACAAATCAGAAGGAAATTACAGGGATTTTTTTGCTAGCCCGGGGCAGAATTCTGCTGTTTTTTTCCCTTACTTGGATCCAGGGCTTGATCCTGGGTGGCAGTCCCAGGTGGGGAAGAGCACTACCATTGCAGAGCTTGTGGCCACAGTGGAGGGGGAGCTCTCCTCACAGTTTCAGGGCAGAAAAGAGGGCTAGTGGATGTTCACAGACCAGAGCACAGACCAGGAAAGTGGTACACTTCTTTCCTTACATCATACCACCTTGGAAGAACTGAAAACTTACAGGTTCCTAGAAGTATCTCTGAAAACAGCTGCACAAAACCCCTGAAACTTAGGACAGTTCACCCTCCACCCAGGAAGCAGAGCCCTACCTGAACAAAGAGTTAAAAGTCAACTAATGGGCTGGGAAAATGAGCAAAGAATAGAAAAACAGAAACCTCTGAGTATTGAAAGTTACTATGTGACAAGGAAGATCAAAACACATGCTCAGCAGAAGAAACAAAGTGGAAGATCTCACATTCAAGCCTCGAAGAAAAAAATATGAATTGGTCTCAGGCCATGGAAGAGCTCAGAAAGGATTTTGAAAATCTAGCAAGAGAGGTAAAGGAAAAATTGAGAAAAAATGAGAGTGATGTAAGAAAATTGTGAAAAACAAGTCAACAGTTGGTGAAAGAGATACAAAGAATATTGAAGGCCAAATGGTAAAAGAGATCCAAATACCCGATAAGGAGAAGAATGGTTTAAAAAGGAGAATGGACAAATGGAAAAGGAGTTCCAAAAGCTCGCTGAAGAAATTAATTCCTTAAAAATTAGAATGGAACAATGGAAGGTAATGTCTGTATGAGAAATCAAGAAACAATACAACAAAATCAAAAGAATGAAAAAAAGAAGACAATGTGAAATATCTCACTGGAAAAACAACTGATCAAGAAAATAGATCCAGGAGAGATAATTTAAAATTTATTGGATTACCTGAAAGCCATGATCAAAAAAAGAGCCTAGACATCACCTTTCAAAAAATTATCAAGGAAAACTGCCCTGATATTCTAGAACCAGAGGGTAAAATAGAAATTGAAAGAATCCACTGATCTCCTCCTGAAAGGGATCCCAAAATGAAAATACACAGGAATATTATAGCCACATTCCAGAGCTCCCAGGTGAAGGAGAAAATATTGCAAGCAGCCAGAAAGAAACAATTCAAGTGTCATAGACACAATCAAGATAATACAAGATTTAGCTGCTCCTACATTAAAGGATCAGAGGGCTTGGAATGTGATATTCCAAAGGGAAAAGAGCTAGGGTTAATTAATGCACTGGGGCTGGAGTTGTGAACTGATTCAACCATTCTGTAGACCAATTTGGAACTATGCCCAAAGAACTGTAAAACACGTATGCCCTTTGACCTACCAATGTCACCACTAGGTCTATATCCCAAAAGAGATAAAAAGGAAAAGGACTTAAAGGTACAAAAATATTTATAGTAGCTCATTTCTGGGAGCAAAGAATTAGAAATTGAAGGGATGCTCATCATTTAGGAAATGGCTGAATAAGTTGTTGTAAATGATTATGGTGGAATACTTCTGTACTATAAGAAATGTTGAGCAGGATGCTCTCAGAAAAACATGGAAAGACTTGCACGAACTGATGCAAAATGAAATGTACTGTGTACAAAGTAACAGCCATATTGTAAGAGGATCAGCTATGAATGGCTTGGCTATTCTCAACAGTACAGCAATCCAAGACAATTCTTGAAGAACTTGCAATGAAAAATGTTGTCTGTCCCCAGAGAAAGAACTGATGGTGTCTGAATACAGATTGAAGCATACTTTTATTTTTTGCCAAAAGGCTATGAAACTGTGCATGCCTTTTGACCCAGCAATACCACTACTAGATATGTATCCCACATAGATAAAGAACAAAAAGTAAAAGGACCTATGTGCACAAAAAATATTTGTAGTGGCTCTTTCTGTGGTGGCACAGAATTGGAAATTGAGGGGATGCTCATCAATTGGAAAATGGCTGGACGAGTTGTGGTATACGATTGTGATGAAATATTCTTGTGCGATTTTGTACCCAGAAAAGTAGGGTGTTCTTGGAAAAACCTGGAAAGACTTATGTGAACTGATTCAAAGTGAAATGAGCAGAACCAAAGAAACATTGTACACAGTACAACAATATCGTACAAATGATCAGCTACAAGTGACTTAGCTATTCTCAGCAAGGCAATAATCCAAAACAATTCCAAAAGTACTTATAATGAAAAATACTATCCACCTCCAGAGAAAGAAATGATGGATACTGGATGCAGATCAAAGCTTACTTTTTAAAAACTTTTTTTATTTTTCTGATTTTGTTTTGTTTGTTTTTTTCGTCTGTTTTCTTTCGCATGACTACTATGGAAATAGGTACTGCATGACTGACCATGTAAAACCTATATTGCATTATTTACATTCTCAATGAGGGGAGAAGAAAGGGAGAGGATTTGGAACTCAATTTTTTATAAGGAATGTTAAAAATTGTTTTATATGTAATTGGGAAAAAACAACACATTGAATTTAAAAATTAAGTGGATAAAAGGATAGAAGAAAATTAAGAAGAAACACAGACAAGCAGCAGAATAGTTTTGAAGGTTATATGTGAATTTGTTATAAACTTTTCAAATTGAGGGGTTCAACATGGCAATTGATAGTTCCACATAGCATCCTTATTTGTGTTCTCCTGTGAGTGCGGACATGCCCTTTTTGGTGTTTAAATTTAGAATAACTTTTTAAGGCACAAAAAACTGGCAACAGATGAGCAACTCACACAGGTTCTGGCTTTCACAGCACTGACATTTATCTCAATTCAATTCCTTTCAATTTTCAATTTCTTTTCAATTCAGTTCCATAGAGTTCTAGAAACTGGGGAGCTATCTTGATGCAATCTAGGACTTTTGGGAAACATATCTCAAACCATTTGAATCCAGTCCTTTCTTTTAGCCTCCACATGAATAAAAGCCAGAATTGCCATAAGGTATGCAGTGGTGAGGAGCTGATAAATTTGCTGTGATTGGTAAGCTTACCTCCAGGCTACTCAAAACTGCTAATTCTTTTCTTTTCTGGTTATACTTCCAATCCCACATTTTATTCTTATGTGGCATAGTGAATACAGTTGGCCCTGGAATCAGGAAGAACTGGGTTCACATACTTGCTATGTGACCTTGGAAAAGTCAATTACCCTCTTATTGCCCTCAGAAAATTCTAGGGCAGCAAGTTATATAGAAAGTACCAATCCGCATCAGTATAGAAAAACTTTCAATAGAGAACTTTATGCAGAGTTGGAAGATGTGGGTTAAAATTCTACTATCCACGTCCTGGTTGTGCATACTTGGATAAGTCACTGAACTACTCAGGGTCCAGGTGTTTGCATTTGTAAAATGAGGTTAGTAACACTTGCATTAGTTGCTTTGGAAATGTTGTGAGACTTGAAGGAAATAATGCTTGTAAAATGCTTGGTAAATCTTCAAGTGCTAGAGAAAGTCATAGGATCACAACTGGACCTGGATGGGAACTTGGAAGCCATTGAGGCCAAGGCTTCATTTCACTTATGAGGAACTGAATCCTTAGTTAGGGCATGTGACTTTGCTAAGGTCACATAAGGAGATGTCAGCAGAGCTTGGATTTGAACCCAGCTCTTCTGACTCCCAGGATACCAAGCTGCCTCACTATGTGCACTGCTGACCGCACGGGATACTTGCAATACTCAAAGGATATGACACATACAAATTACATTATACCCTATAAAGTACTATAATTATCCTTGTGTGTGAATTTAAAAGCTATATAAAGTTCATTATCACCTCCAAACTGAACCTCGGGATAGAACAAATTGGAATGAAGCAAAATTGCATCTTGTCCAGAATGGTCTGCAAGGTTTGAGGGTTTGATGGACCCGGTGCCATTTTATCCCCAAACAGGAGCACCTGGAAGACTTCACCATCTAAATACAATCCTTCTGGCTCCCTCTGCCCATGACAGTCCCCAAACCTGTTCATGACCATGTATCTCACTGTATGAGGTCTCTCCTGATAATAATGACCGGAAGGTTGATTCAAAAGGAGGTCCCATCTTTACATGTAATTGAGAAAAAAATCCTTTTTTAAAAAGTAAGCTCCCTCCAAAATCCAGGTTATTCTTTCTTTTCCCTACACC